GTATAAACGTATAAATGTATAAATGTATTAATGTATAAATGTATAAATGTATAAATGTATAAATGTATTAATGTATAAATGTATAAATGTATAAATGTATAAATGTATAAATGTATTAATGTATAAACGTATAAACGTATAAACGTATAAACGTATTAATGTATAAATGTATAAATGTATAAACGTATAAACGTATTAATGTATAAATGTATAAATGTATAAATGTATAAACGTATAAACGTATTAATGTATAAATGTATAAATGTATAAATGTATAAATGTATAAATGTATAAATGTATAAACGTATAAACGTATAAATGTATAAATGTATAAATGTATAAATGTATAAATGTATAAATATATAAATGTATAAATGTATAAATGTATAAATGTATAAATATATAAATGTATAAATATATAAATGTATCAATGTATTAATGTATAAATGTATAAATGTATAAATATATAAATGTATAAATGTACTAATAAAACTATAATTACAGGTGAGCTGTGTAAATGTGTTTGTATGAAACAACGAGTCCTTCCTGTTACTCTGTACCTTTAAAGGTTGGTGACCGCTGCTCTAACCTCTCCTCACAGGTTAGAGTTTTAACTTTTACTGAGKCGTTCTTACTTTAAAGTTTATTACTTTTTAAATATTATTGTCACAGTTTCAAGGCATTTCTCACTTCAACATGTTTTAATTAAAGAAAATAACAGTGATATAAAAAATGAGTTTTGATTCCTGTTCAACAATATAATTTTCACAGTTTAGAGTAATGATGAGGAGATAATTCCAGATATATGAATTTACCTCTATCCTTCCCGTTCAGCAGCCTCTCCTCCTCCTCTCGACCTTCATCTGTTCAGAACAAAGAGCAGAAATGATCGTCTTATAAAGCAGTTTAAAGATAACTTAGTGTGATGTTTACCAGAGTGCAGCTCTTTGACCAGTGAGGACACGGTGTTGGTGATGGAGTCTGCTGCTACCAGCAGGTCGTTCCTCAGGTTTCTTCTTGGGCCTGGATAGAAAACAAAGCTTTACCATCACCTGCACAGGTGTTCATGATGCTGCTGCACATAAATCCTGCTCCACCTTGAGAGAAGGCCTCCTGGACGTCACCGCCCACTCCAGCCAGGGAGTCTTGAGGGAAATAGGTGTGAGCCTGAGGAGGCGTGGCCCCCGTGGAGTGGACAGCTGGTGGTCTCAGACGAGATGGAGAGGTGGAAGCTGAGCCAGCTGCTGGTGCCTACAAAATAAAATAATGAYTGTTAAATAAGTGGAGGATGTTTCAGTTTCTGAGCTCAGAAGCCTGGCTGGTTGGAGGGTAAACTTACTGCCTGTCGCTGCTCCTCGTCCTGCAGGAAGACAGCATGGCAGCCAGAAACAAGCAGGGAGTGACAGAGTTGGAAACATGAAGGTCAGAAAGGATGAAGTGAAAGAGGAGGAAGATGTTAGAGTGAGGACAGAAACATGGAGGAGAGGAGAGGAGGAACTTCCTGTGGGTCACCTTCAGCAGCTTCATGAGTCCCTCCAGCTGGACCATCAGCTCTCTCCTGCTCTCCTGCAGGGAGGACATCCTCTGCTCCAGTTCCTCTTTCCTCTGTCTGCAGCACAACACACAACACAACACACAACACACAACAGCTCATTACTGAATCAATCATTAAAGAGCAAACAGTCCCTGAAAGACCTCAAACTAAATACTCTATTTACAGCTGAATAATCCAGATTTAACTGGATTATTATTTACCTGAGGTCAAATAAGATGAAAATTAAATTCACTTAATTAACAATCAGAACATTTGGTCTCATGTCAGAACCGTTGGTACACAGATTTGTTCTTAAGTTGTGCGTACGAGTGATTTAGGAGAATTTGTGACA